GCTCTCTGCCGCCCACTCAGCCCCCGGTGGTGGTGCCGGTGGTCGTTCCCGCCCCGGTCGCACTGCCGCCACCGCCCACCGGCCTCATCAGTCCTAGTGGTGGTGGGGGCGGTGGTGGACCGCCGCTGTCCGCCCTACCACTTCCTCCTGCTCCTCCCGTGGTGGTCGGTGTGGCGTCTCATCCTTCTCTACCACCAGCACCTTCTCCACTTTCCTCCTCTCCGTCCTCGTCGAGCGTCAACAACAATGTCATGGCTCCGAACGTCTCCGCCCTGGTCGGCTCTGCCCTCTACCACAGCGGGGGAGGCAATGGTGGTCGCGGTGGTGATCACCACAAAGGAGGTGGATCTCAGTTTGGCGGCGGTGGTCCAAATGGACGAAACAACTCTGGCTACAGCTCTCCGGGCGGAAATATGCGTGGGCTCGGAGGTGGTGGTGGCAGTGGCAGTGGCGGCAAAGGTAGCGGCGGTCAGTCGCCCTACTCGAATCGCCATTCTCAGGTACCTACGGCGGTTGAAAACAGAATTTGCGACATAACTTGACATTTACGCGCGACTGGAGAGGAGACTACTGTGCACACATTGACACATTGACACACTCCCACCTTGTTATTGCTCACCTAGCAAAGTGTCTACTCTACCACTAACCTTTTACTAATCTTGTCCTCTCTCTCTTTTTTCTCTTCCTGTTTTTCATTTTTCTTCCTCTTTACCTCTCCCAATTTAGCCTTATCAGAATTCTCGAATGCCATCAAACAACAGCAGCAGCAACAATAACACGTCTTCCGTCTCGCCGCCGATGGTTTCAATTGGTGGTAATGGTGCTTCCGGTGGTGGTGCTGGCGGCAGTGGTCAAAGCCCCAACGCCTCCGTCTCCAATGGCTCCAGTGGCGGCAGTGGTAATGGAGGTGGAGGAATGGTGATGGGCGGCGGCATGGCCACCAACGGCAATGGCAGCCTCACCCCGGAGGGCAAGTCGTCCCTTCTCTCGGACCACACTGACCGGTCGCTGGGAGGTGGTGGTGGTGGTGATCGGGGTGGTGATATGATGGGCGGTGGTGGTGGTCACGGAATGGGCCACCACGGCGGACATCACCACCACCACCACCACCACGGAGGGCACCGGCCGCCGGCGATCAGCAAAACCAATCTGTACATTCGCGGCCTCACCCCGAACACCACCGACAAGGACTTGCACTCGCTCTGTTCTCCGTAAGTGGTTTGCTTCCTTTTCTTTGTTTTCTATCTCATTTTCGATTCTTTTTCCCAGATACGGAAACATCATCTCAACAAAGGCGATCCTCGACAAGGAGACCAACAAGTGCAGAGGTAAGCTTGAGATTGGTTTTGTTTTGTTCTATCCTGCTGTGCTAACTAAACACTAAAACTCCAACTTCCACTTTTCACCACCAGGCTACGGCTTCGTCGACTTTGAGTCGCCCAACGCGGCGGAGCTGGCGGTGAAGAGCCTGATTGGCCAGGGCGTCCAGGCGCAGATGGCGAAGTGCAGCGAGGCCAGTCGCCACAAGTTTTCGTTGTCCAAGGGAGGCGGCGGCGGTGGCCTGGGCGGCGGTGGAGGCGGCTTGGGTGGAAATGGAGGCGGCCTCGGCGGCGGATCGATTGTGAGTCACGGCCGCTCTCGCTACCATTCTTCTCGCTATCATTCATTCAGTTCTGACACTATGACCGTGCACTCCTCCTCTCAGAATGAACACGACCCCACCAATCTCTACATTGCCAATCTGCCCATTCACATGACTGAACAGGACCTGGAGACGATGCTCACCATGTACGGGGCGGTGGTCTCCACGCGCATCCTCAAGGACCCCAACGGGGCGCCGCGGGGCGTCGGCTTTGCTCGGTAAGATTTCGGGTGTCATTTTTTTTATTAAATTCATTTCTAATCCTTCCTTTTTATTATTCAATTTTGCAACACAGCATGGAGAGCAAGGAAAAGTGCGACGCCATCATCAGCTTGCTGAACGGGAAGATGCTGCCCGGCTGCAAGGACCACCTGCTGGTGAAGTTTGCCGACGGCGGCAACAAGAAGAAGCACTACAAGCATAACGGAGACCGAGGAGGATACCGAAATGACGTTGATGTAAGTAGTGAGGGTGATGAGGGCTCTTTCTAATTAGCCAATCAACTAATCATTCTCTCCCAACAGCTGCAGATGAACTTTGACTCGACCAATCTGGCGACGAACGGCGTGCCCACGCAGCTGCTGCCCTCGCCGCTGGCCGCCTCTGCCGCGGCCTACCAGCGGGCGGCCGCCTATTCGGTGGGCGCCGGCGGGGGCGGTCACCCGTACGGCCACCAGAACGCCCTGCAGGCGAATCCGTGGCTGGCGGTGAATCAGGCGCCGCCACCGCCGCACGGCTACCACATGCTGCCGCCGCAGATGATGCCCTCGAATATGGATCCGAATGCAGCGGCCGCCGCCGCTCTGCAGTATTCACCGCTGATGCACCAGCTCACCGCACAAATGTCACACCTTCAGCTCGGGGGCGTGTCCGGTGCAGGGGTAAGATTTGGGGCTATTTAAAGCGAGGTTTTTTCTAATCTTTGTCTGTTTGTTCCCCCTCCCATCCATTGCAATTGCACCAGTACATGCCGAACGCCTATGGAGCGCAGGCCCTCTACCCGCAGCAGTTGATTCAGTCGATGACGCTGCCCGGAGAGGTATGTGTTGTGTGGTGTTTGCACAGCTTGTACACTCTTATAAATCTTGCCCTTCTACTACTACTACTACCTCCGCAGGAGTCTATTAACCCCTCGCACTCGGTGAGCAGCGGAAGTGCCTCTGGTGAAGACCCACAGCAGCAGCAGCAACAGCAGCAGCAGCAGCACTCCTACCAACAGCAGCAGCAGCAAATGCAGCAACAGCAGCAGCAGCAGGCGTACAGCCAACAACTGCAAAAGTAGAAGAAGAAGCGGATGAGGAGACGAAAGTGTAGTAGATGAATGTTTAGGTTTGATACTTTTCCTTTTCCGCTCTCTTTTTGTTGTTTCACTTGTCTCCCCATTGCCCATTGCCCCCTCCCCTCCTCCTCCTCATCTCCATCTTTCTCCA